ACCGGCGGCGTGGGAGCTGCCGGGGGACGCGCTGCCCTCTTCCTTGGTCAGGCCGGCCGCTCTTTCTGACTTTAGACTGGTCTCCTGTGCGGTCTCTCGCACCGCTGATACCAATTCCGTGTCCAGATTCCCAAGGTTTGTTTTGCCGTGCCTGGGAGTGCACCCGGTTCAAGAGGTTTCGCCAGAGGAGCCGCGCAGCGTTACTTTGAAGGTAAAACCCAGGCACGTTACCTTGGCGCAGCTATAAAATACTGCAGGGACCGCTCACGGCAGGTGACGGGGTGCTCTGGTTTGCCTGATTTAACTTGAGATTTGCCCAGTGATTTTTTTGTGCTTCTGTAATACAAAAGACCAAAGACCCATCAGACCAAATCCCAGGGTCGCTCAGCACATTCATTTGTCCGTGTTAGTCCTAAGGTAGAATTGTTCACTGGAGTTATCTGGCCATATTACTGCAGTGGAACAGCTTTAAAAATCCCAAGTGAGTGCTTTGCTTGCAGCGAACACAGCGTGTGTGTGTTTGCACATGTCCCCTTGTTAGCATGGGAAGTGGAAGGTGACCGTTTGTGTCCTTAGCCTGAAAAACTTGCAGAGCTGTCTGCAGCTATATAATGTTACCACGCTTTTTATGGGCCTTGTTTTAATTACATCATCTGCTCCTGTGGAAAGATAACTTGAAATGAAAGGCCATTAAGTAAAGAAAGGAAATCGTGAAGGCTTCTAAAATTTCTCTGACCGCACAACTTAGAGTAATAGCAAGTTTTAAGGTAGAGAATTTAAGAACAATGAAGGAAATGCCAATTTAATCATAATGTTGAGTTCATGCCCCTTTCATCTTATAAGGGCAGTGTGGGTTGCATCTTTAATTTGTTCTTGCAGGATCTGGATGCTGCGTTGCCGCTTATAGAACTCTACAAAGATAAATTGGTGGGGATTGGAGAAGTAAGTAGAATTCTGTAGCTTGTTTAAATGCCAATGGCTTTGTCAGCATCTGTCACCAGAATTACAAAAACTTAGTGAATACCTTGTTTTGTGTAAGCAATAAAAATTACTGTCAGTCTGAACAAGTGCTAAGTCAGATTTGTAATTCTTAACATGCTTTCCTAAATAGATTTGCCTGATGCTCTCTTTTATTATCATTATTAGGAAATAGATGATGTTTATGCTGGTGGATTTAGATTGCATTATTATGCTATATCATCTTATACCCGAATGTCTCTTGACCTATTCTCTGGCACAGTGAAGTGTTGAGACACATTTTTATCCTCATTCAGATCCTTCCTGCCTTCTTCCCTGACAAAGTCAGGCTAAGCTATGATTTCAGTGTACCTCAATGACTTGTACAGTTCTTTTTGTTATGATCCCTCATCTCTCTGTATCCATGTGTTGTCTCCTGTCTTACATTTGTTTATAAACTGAGGCTTGAAAACTTTAGGGTGGAGTCTGCCCCTTTTCTGTGTTGATACAGGAAAGACTTATGGCTGGTTCTGCACTGACTGTAGGAAAAGCAGTTATTGGCAGAGCTTTGTAGCTAAACTTGTACAGTATATCAAGGACTTAGGTTGGTGTAACTGTGAATGGGGCTGCTTTGACAAACTTTAAATTTAGCATGAACATGTTTAAATCAAAAAAGTATAGAGTTAATGGGTATTTTTTGTTGGAGATAGGACTAAAGCTACAGGTTCAGGTCAGAAATTTTACTTGCATTGGAGATACAGATTTGAGACTTAATCTGAAATAATATTTAATAGAATATAACCCCCCAGAAAGCCAGTTACAGATTAAAATGTTAAATATGCTTGTTAGTAACTGTCTGCCCATAAAGGCTTTCGTAGTTGAAAAGCTTACAGTTGAGAATGGATTCCTTTTCAAGTTAGGCCACAGTTGAGCTCATTTTAATTGCAGCCTCTAATATATGTATTTTGAAATGCTTTGCAGTTTTGAAGCATTTTTTGCTTTTATGTATGGTATTGTGGTTTAGTCAAGTGTTAGCTCTGTAAATTTTTTCACTTCTCTTCTTGTACTGTAGGTTGGACTAGATTTCACTCCCAGATTTGCCAGCACGGATGAACAGAAGGAAGGACAAAGACAGGTTTTGATCAAGCAGATTGAGTTAGCAAGAAGACTGGATTTGCCTTTGTAGGTTTTGTTTATACTAGTAGGAGAATTTGCCAAAACCCAATAACAACTGAAAATATTTCCCAGGATTTCTAGTTACCAAGAGCCCACGGATCTTCTTGGATTAAACTGGCATTAGCGTTCTGTCAGTCTTCAGTTTGAGATTTTATTATAGAATTTTCTCTATGCTTGCATTTGTATACAGCGGTCTTATGTGTCCTGTCCTTGCTGTGTTGTTGCTATATCTTCACTGTAGCTAAAATGATTCATATATACTGTCTCTAGATACTTTTTCCTGATAAAAGGTGTAATACAGAATAATTTTGTTCATTCCAAGCTGCTGTTAGTTTGTTTATGTTTATAAAAAAAAAGTATTTTGCTGAATTTCCTAATGCCAGGCTTCTCCTTGCTGTGCAGAAATGTTCATTCCCGCTCAGCTGGAAGACCAACCATTAATCTCTTAAAGGAACAAGGTATGGGTTTTATGCATTTTCTCCATCATGGCTTTTGTCAATAGAATTTCTTCATCTGTGCCATGTCCTTATGAGTTTGTGTACACCAAAGTTGGGAGGAACAATGCAGAGATTCTGTGTTCATTCTTTATGAAACTGAGGTCCCATTGTACGCTGACATCACAGATCTATGGTAAACACTGCTAATGACTTGGTTTGCTGCTTCTCTCTGAGGTGCTACAAAGGTGTTGCTCCATGCGTTTGATGGGAAGCCATCTGTAGCGATGGAAGGGGTGAAAGCTGGATACTTCTTCTCCATTCCTCCTTCCATTATAAGGAGTGAACAGGTAATGGTTAAAGGGGTTTGCTCCTTCTCAGGTCTTGGGGATTGCAGGTAATAGAAGACAGGTTATCATGATGGCAAATATGACTGTTTTCACCATACAGCTCAAGAATATGCTTGGTTTTTAAGTCTGAAGTACTGCTAGTCCCAGAGTTTGAAGTGGGACTAGCAGTTCTTGTGTACAGTTGCTGTCACCTGACACTTCTCAGCAGAAGTTTGTTGCTTATAGTGCTGCACATTTTCACTTAGGCTAAATTTCTGCCTGGGCCTTTTGCCTTAGCTAGACTTTTGCGGGGAAAACTTGTCTAAAACAGTTCAGCTATTTCTGAGAATAAGGAGTTAAGAAGCATTTTTTTCTCATTTTAATTTGGCTTCTGATGAACTCTTCTTTGAAAGCTTCTATCCCTGTACTCTTATAGAGTAGGGACATGACACGTGGAAAAGGACTAGTTTCTATCTCAGTGCCGTGGCACGTACAGTTCAAAAGAAAATCTGCTCACAATTGATTAAGTTAAAGACCTTTGAAAAAGGTGTGCCCAGCGAAGAAGCAGCTAAATTGCTTAAATATGGCTTTGGTCAGGTTTGGCCCTTGATTTGGTGAGACTGCTCTTTTAATTTTTACTGCGGGCTGCCGCAAGCTATGCTAACTTCATATTTTGGGCTAGCAGTTGGTTTCTATCCTGTGCCATCATCACTTCCTGTGATAAGCTCAGGAAATGTAAGAAAGGAAAAGGCATGATTCAGGTGGAAGGGGGTGTGAGGGATGGATGTAGATGGGGATGAGGAACTTGGAGAAAGGAAAGCAAACTGGAGGTTGAGGGGTGAAAGAAGAGATGGGAAAAAGGTACTCAAATATATATACAGAAAAAGAGCAAATTAAAATTGCATTGGCGACTCTGTAGGGTATTTTGTGCAATATGACTACATGACTTAATAAATAACAATGGATTCAGTGTTTAGATAATAGTACTTCAGATATTCAGAAAACAGGATAATCCTAATTTGAAGGGATTTCCTGAGCAGCTCCTGGTATTCTTGCTTCCATTCTGAAATTGTTGATAAAATGCAGACACTGGCACCAAAGTCTTTTGACAATCCTTTTAGAAGCAGAGGATATTCTCCCCTCATATGTTTTTTCCACACAGGTCTAAGTGCATAAAGTGTTTAATAGCTGTCTTATTTTTTTCAAGAAGCAGAAGCTTGTGAAGATGTTGCCTCTCGAAAGTATGTGCTTGGAAACTGACTCTCCTGCTCTGGGGCCTGAAAAACAGGTAAATGATGGGGAGAAAGGAGTTCTATGTATGTATATTCAAACCCACACCTTACGGAGATCCCATAGTGGCACAGGAGAGTGAAGTAGTGTAAGCATGGGTACAAGGGTCGAAGGAGGTTGCCAAGTGAAAATTTTGAGATTAACAAGTCAGTGTTCCTGAAGCTAGGAAAGGAGAAGAAATTCTAGAAATGGGCGAAGGGGAAAATAATCCAAAAAGAATGAATACATGTAATTTCTCTGGCATACATGCTACTATGTGACTGAAGTTGTGTCAGGAAGTACTGAATCTGAAACACCTGTGATCTGCTAGTGATCTGTAATTTGGTCTGCATTTTTTTGTTTGTTTTCAGGTGAGAAATGAACCAAAAAATATTTATATTGCTGCAGAATATATTGCCAAAATTAAAGGAATTCCAGTTGAAGAAGTTATAGAAGTGACTACACAGAATGCGCTGAAAGTATTCCCCAAACTTCGGAACTTTCTTTGGATATAGATTCAGAAACTGAAAAATATGATATTTCAGAGACTATTATTTATCATGTAATTAATAAAACCAATATGCATCTTGTCTTTAAGTGGAGTTTTGTTGTCGGACAGTTCAAGAAGTGAGCAGAGTGTTACGTAGATGTGTAGGATTAATATAGGGAATTTTTCAAAGACCTTTGATATGTACCATTGTCATCTCTTGGATATGATAGACAGGTTGTTTATTTTCATCTCTCATGCATTCTGAATGAATACTTTGTGAAGAAGAGCACCATAAAATTGTCAGTTTAGTTTCTCAAACTCCTTGCTGAGCTGCTCTTAGTCTGGGAGATGACTGCAGTGTGGTGCTTAGTATTGCTCTCATTCCTTCACTTTCTGCTAACTGAAAGTCACATGGTTGTGTGCCCGCTCCTGATATGAAAGTTTCTGTTACGACTTGCAGACTGCACATCCCTTTCTAAGCCATTAAAAAACCCCAGCTGGATGGATATATATTGTGTTGACTGGGCTCTATGAGTGGTGCAGAAGCAACACATCTTATTTCCTTCAAAATACAATTGGAGAGAATTATAGCCCTTTTCTTCCTTCTTGCCTTGTCCCTTGTATACAGTAGCTTAACAGTTGCTCAGATCTTGGTTATTCTGAGAAGGAAGTGCTTTGATTTTTTTTTTTATTTTATTTTATTTTTTTGAATCTTATTCAAGGGAAAAAGCCTGAGTTTGATCTTATTTCAAGGACTTACTCTTCTGACAGCTCACTATCAGGAGACAGGAGATGTGAAACCAATTCTGTGCAATCTTGGCAGTACCTGTCAGCTGTGGATTCTGCTACATGGGCAAGTGTCCTAAAAACTGAATCTTGTGCTCCCTCAGCACCTGTGTGGATGTGGGCCTGTTGAAATACTAATAAAAACTTTGCTGACTATAAACCAACAATGAAAAAGGCAAGTTACATATGACACTCAGTCGTTCTGAGGGCTGCTAGGGAAGTGGAGGCTTTGTCTCCTAGTGGGGAGTTTTACTAGCTCAGTGAATAAAATGCACAAATATTAACTTGGTCCATGACCACCTCCGCTACCAAATCATGCAACATACTAGTCAATGATGACAGCATTTGGGCATGTCTTCTGTGTCTCAGGTGCCTCTAATTTTTCAGATGAGACTCCTTCCTGTCTTTCTGATTAGAGCATCTTAGCAGCTGCTCCGTTGCAAAATGGTTTGTAATGCCCTATTCTGAAACGATCTGATGTCTGCCTTCTGGGGTGTAGGACTCCAAGGCAAATGTTGGGTTTTTTTCTCTTGTTTTGAGGAAGATGCAGGTAGAAAAATTTTTCCAGATAAGAGAAAAAAAAAAAAAAAGGAGCAAAAGCTGTAATGTGAGTGATATTAAACTTTTGGTTTCTTCTACATTTTCTTCCTCTATATCTTAAAACCAAATTGGCAGGAGGTGTTTTTGCTGTCTTTAGCAGAAAAGCTGTGGTGGTTTTGCCTTTTGTCTAGTTAGCTTATTAAGTTTAAACATATGTTCCTAAACAATTTTTGGCCTGCGCCAAACAACAGAACTTGAATAATTTGCCTCTATTATGACATGTGTTCAGAGCAGCAAACACCTGAATCTTTGCTGAATGTTTGACCCAGAATAGTTAGAGCTATGTGTTACCTTGTATTTACAGGCACCATTTCCACAAAATTAGGTGAAGGACAGAGTTTGCCTCAAGATGGTGCTAGGGAACAGGTAAGAATATTAATGTCAACTACATTAAGAATTACTAATTGTGTTGTCACCGGAGATGCTCTAAATGGGTGTTATCAGGCAGCCTTACGTGTGCTTCTTGCTGCCTGTGTGATGGGAAGGCTCCCAGTGTTGTATGGGAATGCAGTTACGTGTGAAGATGCTCCCAGTAGAAAGTCAAGCAGTGTTCAAATATTTGTAGAGTTTTGACCTTATTATTCTCTATGAAAACACTGGTTTTGCAATAAGGGGAATATCAAGTATTCAGTCTGCTCAAAAATCCCTCTCTCTGTAAGGGGGTAACATTGCTCTGGCTCAGGCTTAGCCTGTCAGTTGATATCGGGCCTGAGCTCTTGAATCCCTTTTGCTGCTGCAGCATTGCAAAAACGTGGAGACACGCTGGCATCCTGCAGCTCCCAGCTGAGCAGGGTGCTGCTGAGGGTGGCCAGCCCCATGCATGGGCCACAGGGGCCTCTGTGGGACAGCCTGGGGCCCCTGTCTCTGCAGCAGCAAAGCCCAGAAATGCTTGTGGTGGCGTGGGAGTGGGGCTGGGTTTGGAGAAGGAGGCATGGGATTGCTTTCCCGCAGGCAAGAGAAACCTGGAGTTGCAGCAGCCATGGGTAGGGTGAGCCTGGCAGGGTGCCTGCGGCAAAACAGACTGACATTGTCCTCTCAGACCTGCAGCACCTCAGCTGAGTCATGGTGTAGGTGGCCTGGCATTCTAGAGGAGGAAAGTGCGGTGTTGTTCCCACCCAGTCTTGGCATCCCTAATGCCAAACGAGTCAGAAGTAGCAGCCTTTCCCCAGTGCTGTTGGTTTTGCTATGTGAGCTGTGTCAGCCCCTGCAGTCAGCATCTGGGGGGTGGGGGGGCAGTAGGTGCTGGAAATAAAGTTACTTTGCACAGGAAACCCAACTTTTAAGGCGCTCGCTCAGGACTGGTGGTAGTTAACGTGTGAGGGGAGGAAGTGTTGTTTCCAAGCTGGAAAACATTGTTGATCCCTCAGCAGTCATCCTGTGTCTTTACATTGAAAGGGGAATTTAAGAGAGAGCTTGCATTTCTGCCTGCAGTCCTGAGTGAACACTTGTCCCAGAGGAGCTCAGGAAGACAGGATGGCTCATGGATGAGCTGTGGGGCTGCACACCATGAAACCCTCCGTCCCCACAGACACTGGCCTAGGCAATATCAGTGTGTGTGCTGAATCCTGTTGCAGCCTCTCAGGTTGTCTGGACAAGCCATGTCCCCTCCTACATAGTATAGGACACTGGAGTGGCCAGGGACATACTGTGGGAAGAACACAATGCAAATTTAACTGGATGCTAAATTTGGGAAACCTAAGGAGAAATAAAGGAGAAAACACAGAGTTAGTGGAGAGCCCAGTTTTCAGTCATGCTGTTAATTTTAGTGGACACTAACAGCCCTGGTGACCTTTGTCTCACAGAGGTGGAATGGCACAGGTGGTCTGCAGCAGTATGGAAAGCGGTAAGTCCCAAGCTCTAGCTGATACCTAAAAAATCAAGACAGATTTGTGTTTTCTTTGACATAATTCATGCTGTCAGAGGGCCTTGCTCGTTAGTCACTAGCTCCATTATTGATGCAGCTCTGGCAGGTACAGCTTCTGCCAGAAAAAAAAAGCCCCATGTCACTCAGTTCTTTCCAGGCTTAAAATAATGCACGCAGATGCACTGTGTGTGCTAGGGACTCCGACATGTGCAAGGGCTTACAGTGAGTAAGCGCATAGCTTAACAAAAGACATAAATAATGAGGAGGACGCAGGGTGACAGTAATAATGTGAAGGTACTTTCCACAGACTGGGATGTGGAGCTTGTAGATCTAGAGAACTTCTAAAGTGGATTTTTCTGTTGACAGAGACAAAATAGTGGACCAGTGTAAGCCTCAGCAGCTATGAAATCACATGGAGGCACTTTGTACCTTCCTTGTTCAGTGAGCACCTTGAATCAATAGCTGGAGCTGGAAGGACACTAAAATTGCAATTCCTTGGCTGGCTGGTGTCATTGCCCTTTCACCACCTGTGCTGGGCTGTTTGCAGGACTCGTGTGGAACAAGACTGAAGTGATTTCGCCTGAAGGCCAAGTGACTTGCAAGAGTGGGATAGGTATAGTAGAACTAAAAGGTTCAGTCTCTTGAACTCCTCAGATGCTGGAAATCCCCTCTGAGTTCAGGACTGACAGCTAAGAGTCTGTCTAAGGGCTCCACCTGTGTTCACTCAAATAGCTTTTAGAGGGCTGCAGGTGGGCCATCCTTCTGAAACTTGTTTTCAGTCATGGACTAACAGGGCATGAATGTGCTGAATTCTGGGGCAAACTGTGAGAGTGATTTTGTTTTTCCAGATTTCAACATGGGAATAAGCAAGGAGATGGTGATGAGGCCAAGGGGATGATATGCTGTTTAGTCCTGCTGTTTATTGTGATAAGAGCTTTAACAAATTGACCAAAGACTTTTACTGGAGGTGCTTCCAACAGGCTCCTATGCAATGCATAGATAGGCTCTTTAGAGGCAAAAGTAAATAAATAATTGGCTGGAAATGCAACTTTCATCCCTAATGAACTTCTGCTTTTGTTTGTTTTTTCATTAATGCAGGCTGGGGTTCAAGCCTCTGTTCCTGGCACAGAGCAGGAAAATGGATTTGAGAGTCATTTAGCAGAAAGGTTTGTTGTTCTTCTCTTTGCTTTCTATATATAGTACAAAGATAGAGCTGAGATCAAAGAAAGGATACGAATTGCCATAGCACCTAGTTGTCTCAGCATTTTCCTCTTCAGCGGGTGGTTATCCATCCGTTCATTTCCCCTGCTGGGACTGGCTTTTCTATCAGTGCGCTGTATGGTGGCCCCACCATGCAGCGAGGGCAAAGTAGCCCCTCCAGGGCCTGGCAAATTTTTATGCCCCTCTTTGAGCTGCTGTGAATAACAAAACAGTGGGAAAACATAGCAAGGATCATGGCCCCGATGAACCCGTGCCTGTGGCAGGAACTGATACCCATCTCCCCAAATACTGGGTGCTGGTCACAGAGAGATGCTGCTGACAGAGCGCTTAATGCAAACACAGGAGATCAGTGCCACTGCTATGCCCAAGGTCTGCTGGTGAAAATGGTGGTGTGGTTCACCTGAAAAAGCGGACACAATGAGTCACTGGGACAAAGAGTCTGTAGGAGCAAGGTGTAGCCCCTCTCTGCCCTACAAACCAGCATAATAAGCTGTGCTGGCATTTGGCTTGGCAGCTGCAGAGGGCTTTAGTGCACGGAGCCGCTGACACATGGAGCACTTGTCATGGTAGTGAGTGTGCAGGTGGCATCAAGGAACTTAAGGCAAAGCTAAAAAAAATGTGTAAAGGAGTGGCACATGCATAGAACAAGAAGATCTGGCCTATTTTCAAAAGGCTGTGGACTGAAGAGTGAGCTACTTCTGTGACAGCGCTTGGGGACATATCTAATGTCCCACCAAAGCAACAGTCAACATCAAAATGTATGGATTTTGTCTG